TGTTGTTAGACATATATGGACTTTAAGTTTTAGATCAATTTGCTTAATTTGTTTTTTTTTTTTTTTTGGTTTGTTGTTCTTCTATTATGTTGTCCCCTCCTCATTAATAGAATAGAATAGAATAGAATAAAATAGAATAGATGGTGTCCCACGTCTCCATTTAATTAATATTTTATTGTAGTTATTTTTGTTCAACATATATGGACTTAAAGTTAAGGATAGTTTTGCATTATTTGTTAGGTTTTGTTGTGATTATTTTGGTTTGTTGCACTTCTATTATGTTGCCCCCCCCCCATGAGTAGAATAGAATAGAGTAGAATAGATGGTGTCCAATGTCTCCATTTCATTTATATTTTATTATATTTTATGGTAGTTATTGTTGTCAGACATATATGGACTTAAAAGTTAAAGATGGTTTTGCTTTATTTGTAAGGTTTTTTTTTTTTTTGGTTTGTCTCCTATTATGGTCCCCCTCATGTATAGAATATCATTTTTAAAATCAAACTTAACCTTTTAAAAGTCGCAACCTTTAAACCAAACGATCCAAATATCCACCAAGACCAAAAAGTTTTGGGACGAGGCAACAATTCATTTCCATTTTGCTCAATTTTTGGCATTTTGGGGCATTAAAAAAGTCAAATTGCAGCTGAAATGAGGGAAACTGGTGCTGAAAGTGGCCCTTTTTCTGTCGGCCAGCCTCTCATCCCACTTCCTGTTTCCTCTCTTCTTCTTCTTCTCCCTCTTTCTCTGCAGGCTGAGCTCAACATGACCCGCATCGGCGCCGCCAACCAGAAAGCGAACAGCCTCATGAAGCGATAGCAGCGTCTCTCGTACGATGTTTCTGTGTGTGCTTTTTGCCTTTTCTAACCCAAATCCGGGTTCTTTTTTGACCTGCTATCCATTATAGAGAGCTGCTGGGGCTTTATTTCTGAATCATTTTGACAAGTTTATCTTCATTCTTATAGTAAGGAGCCATGTTTTGTTTTATAACTACTGTAGTTGCAGGGCCTTGGTGACCTCTGACCCCTCAGACATCCGGAGGAAGTCGACTATAATGATCCTTACAGGGGAAAAGTCGCCGTTTTTCCTCAGTGTGATGGCCTCTAAGTGTGCAAATCATGGTTAGATTACTAAAAAAAGGACCCAAAACAATCACAACCAGCTCACTTCCCAGTTTAAGACCTCAACCAGCCTCAAAAACCGTTTTTCCCCCGAGTTTTCGGGCATAAACCGGTGTGGGGTGGCGCCCTCTGCAGGTGCCCAGCGGTACTGCACCCAGAGGGAGCTCTCTGGCGCCACCAAGCGGACATTTCCGGAACATGTTTCTGCTACCCTCCATGTTTTCCCTCCCCACGTGGGCCCGTGTTTCTACCCCCCCACTCCCCCCTTGCTGGTGCATCTGAGGATTTGTGTCTCATTATGACAAATTAGGCTGTTAGATTGGTGAACATGGCTCAGTTTTATTGTGAAGCTGTGCTAAAATTAAGACGTTTGTGGTAAATAACGTGTTAATTCTAATAAAAACGAGCACACGTGAAGGCCTCTGCTGACCTATAGGCTTTTTAAGACAATCAACGGTCAAAACAAGCATGTAAATGTGTTTTTTGTGATAACATGCTGATATATTAAGTTGTAAACAAATAAAAGTGAGCAAAGTTTGTGAGTTTGTGTAACTTTTAGGAGTTCAGTGTTCGTGTGATCAGCAGTTTTGTTCAGTAAAAAGCGGAGTAATTAGTGATTTGAGCGAAAATTCGTGATTTTTGCGGAGGATTTGTAGGAAACTCCGGGTGCTTGGTGACAACCGTTGCCAGGACACAGGGGGGCGCGCGCGTGGCGACACGCGAACGTTGCGCGTTCTAGGAAGGAAAAAGAAAAATCTCACGC